TGTATTTTAAAGGCAGCTGTGAGTCCATCTGTGTATCTGCAAGTCCATTTGTTCAAGCACTCCTCCTAAATGGTAACAGCTAGGACCACCAAATTTGGTATGCCGTTTCCTCTTATCCTAATTTACAGCAAGGTCAAGGTTTGGTTGTGGCAGAAAAACAGGATGTGCCTAGAATTTGATTGTTTTCCATAACATGATACTACACAGTCATCTCTGGGGGCAGCAAGCATGGGGAACAGCAGTACTGCAGAGTGCCCATTGTGGGCAGCCGCACAAGAAAGGGAATGGCAAGCTCTCCTCCATTCCCCCTTCCCCGGGCAGCCCAGAAAGCACTGCCAGGGCTTGCCTGTGTGGTCTTCCCCTCCCCCCAAGCCCAAGAAGCACTGGGTCCTCCATTCCCCCTTCCCCGGGTAGTCCAGAAAGTACTGACAGGGCTTGCCTGTATGGTCTTTCCCTCCCCCCAAGCCCAAGAAGCACTGGCAGGAGGCCTCCATGGTACTCCCTAGCCCCTGGGAACACCAGCAGGCTTCCCCATCCTCACCCCCCAAGCCGGGCCCAGGGAGCACTGTCAGGTGACATCCAATGTCCCCTCTCCAGCACCCGCCCTGGGCCTGGGGAGGGCTGGTGGGAGGCCTATGCTGTGCACACACCCCCGCCACTCCATGGGCCAGACCCATTTAAATCAGTGGGACTTCTGAGGCAAGTTAAATTAAGCAAAACTTTTTCAAAGATAAGGGCTTACATACATAACATATCAATCTAAAACAAATGAGAAACAATAAATATTTGTGTTATATTTTCTTCCCTTGCTATATCTATTGTAACTATTTGCTTTTTGTCATATAGCTGAATTTCTACCCACTTGCTTTTCAATGGCCAGTTAGTTTGCAGTCTTTTACCCAATGTTTTATTTTTCAATATTTTCCTCATCAATTTTTATGTACCTTTTATTCCATTTTCAGTAATCAAAGTAATATTATAATAAATAGATTCATTTGAAGTATTGGGTTTTACTTTCATTTTAACTTGTGTCATTTCATTCTAGTTTTACAATGTACAGGAAACAATACAATACATGAGACAGTCAGCCATTCTGTCAGGTGGATTGTTTGGTGCCTACCTTCATGACCATATATGGAAATAAACCTTCATGTAATCTCAGAGGCTGACAGGTGTATTTGCAGCACACATGCAACTGATAAATTATAATCAGAATCTTGCTGTCACATAAAATTAATATTTATAGGGCCCCAACGTAAGTGCCCTGAGCAGAACTGACCATAATGCCATCCTCCCTAATGCAGCAAATGCCTAGCACAGCATCTGCACTGTGAGTTGGTTTTTGATGGTGCATGTCAGGCATTCTGTGCCCCTTGCCAAAGATCTGCTACCTCAGTGCAGCCTACCCTCTGAAGTGGTCCTGTAAGAAGGGAAGGGCAGGGAGTCTGACTTTTCAGAGTTTGCTTTGGGTCAGCTACTGGAGGAACCAGAACTACTTTATCCGCCAGCAGCTAGAAGGACTAGGGATGTTAGATAGCATGTAACTGAATAGTTGTGTAATCGCATCCAATTTTAGAGGTTATATGACTATTCAATAGTCACCGGGAGCGGGGCTGGCAGCCAGTGCACTTCTGGCCCCACACCTGGGGAGCCTCCCATCCTTCCCGTGGACAGAGGCAACAGTGGGGTAGAGGGAGGTGGAGCACCAGCTCCTGTAGGAGGCAGCAGGGAGGGGGGAACGCAGGTCCACGGAGCCAGCATGCACAGAGAGCCAGCTAAAAAGCCAGCTCCCTGCATGTATAGGCTCCTGCCTGTCCCCCTCATCTTCTGGGCTGCTGCCTCTCTATCAGAGGCAGAAGTGCGGGGGGGTGCATGTGAGGGTGGGCAGGCGGATTCAGTGTTTGTGGGGAGCTAGTTTAAAGCCAGCTTCTCCTGGACACCAGCTCCCACCCCCCTGTTGCTGCTTCTGATACATAGACAGCAAGGTGAGTGGGGGGAGAAATGCATGTAGTCAACAGGATTAATTGATAAGATCGGGCTTATCAGTTAACCATGTAGCTACACATCCCTAGGAGCAGGTAGAAGCCAACCCTTGGGGCCAGATGAAAAAGGCTGGCTGCTTCTATCAAAGGTCAATTCTGGGTGAGGTCAACTCTTGTCGGAGACGAATTTTGACAGTACTTTTTATTTCAGTCAATGAGAGGCTTATGATTTATTTTGTGGTGAATACGGCCTACAAAACTCATTCTGAATTAGACATCAGCCCTGGTCTACACTAGGAAATTATTTCAAAATAACTCCCCTTATTTCAAAATAACAAGTAGAGTGGCCACACTACTACACTATTTTGAAATAACGGGCTTGTTATTTTGAAATAGTACTGTTCCTCATGACAAGCAGGAGTTATTTCAAAATTGTTATTTTAGGAGTTATTTCAAAACATTTCCTAGTGTAGATATGCCCTAACTGGGCCCATGAAAATTAGGCAAGCTCATTTCTCAAACAGCCACTAGCTAAGGGGCATCTGTGACATGGTGGATCCAGGGATCTCTTTGTACCAACTGGGTGAAAGTTCAGAGGTACATACCTGCATATAAGACCTCCAATGAAAGTCCGTGTCACTCTATTTATGATAATAATTGTAAGATATGTACATACACATTGTCAATTATGTTAAGAGTTCATAGTTAAAAGGAGATCAGTCCAATCTTGAGACAAACTACTCCAGACAATAGGTGGGAGACACTATCTAATCATCGTGGTTCTTATGATAAAAGTCTATTGATATACTAAATCAAATGCTAATTAGGAGCTTTCAAGGATTTCAAAGGAAATGAGAAAGGTAGTAAAGAGAGACAGAACAAGTGAATCTTGGCAAAAAAAGAAGTTACTGAGCCACTTATTGTCTGTCTAGTAGTCTTTGCTAATGGATACTGAACCAAGGATGGTTCTGGGCTTTGTGGGGCACTGTGGGAGACATGGGGAACCTCTGTGATTTCCATAGCTCACCTAGCATATTGGGATTTGAATACTGGGCAGGTCAAGGTTTCTTGCCATTAGGGGAATATTGGGGAGTTTTAACAATAGGGCAGGGTAGGCAAAAGGAGATTTGACAGTCAGGTTATATCACTTGGAAGGAGATGTCAGGGAGAGCTTTAATAAATGGGAGTAAACTTAGCCTCCCACATTTTTTTTTTCATATTTTATTAGAGGACTTGGTTGTGGTGGACATTTGGGTCAGGCTATTTCATAGGAAAAGGACTAACAGAAAAAAGCCAGAGTATCACATATTGACATAATTTGCAAATGCACATAGCTGGCCCTGTATTAAAATAAAGCTATATCTCATCCCGAATTTATGACAATGAAATGTATGTTATAAATGCATTATTGTGATTTCATTGCTGGACTAAGAGGCTTCTAAGGAAAAATACTTATTTAAGCACTTCTGCAGCCTAGTGGTGCTATATGTATCCTATGGCCTGACATATGAGGGTTATACACCCTCTTTAGGCTTGTGGTTGGAATTAAAAATGTTAATACTCTACCCGCCTTGGTCCTACAATCCCAAAATAGCGAGATTTTGTCAGAAAATTATCAGCAATTAAACCATGCATAATGTTGCTGTTTGAACTGACACTGTGTACAAACTGAACACAAAAGTGCAGACTCAGAAAAACAGTGCTGCATCAGTTCACATTTGGAAGGTTATTTTCACAATCCTAAGGGTTGACAATTTTTTTTTAAATTAAAACTTAAATCTTGCAGAATATATATGTGAATCAGAAAAATCACCAATTTGATTCTGTTTAATCTGATTTCTGGTCTTTTCATTCCAAAGTTTGATGCCACTTGGCCATCGCCAGTCAAAGTTTAAGGTTTCTAACTGCACACTGGTAATGCCACTTAAAGGTGTTAGTATATATATATTCACATAGCAGTAAATGCTGCAATAAATAATTAAAAATGTAAAGGTTAAACAATTGTGTGCTTGAAAGTCTCCTGAAATATCCCAGTTTCTTCTTATCAAATAGATCTTGAAAGGACAGAATAAGCAGACCAATATTTAAATTTACCTGGATATTTAAATATAATGGGAAGGAAATAGTGTGAATGAAATAAGTTATGAATGAAAAGTGAACTCCCAACAATTTCTTGAAGAGCACTCATTTAAAATGATTCAGAAACTGGGACATAAGCACATTGATTTCATTTTTTTATCTGTTTTACATACAACATTAATGCTTCAGAATTGGGAAACTGGCCACAGAAACAGAATCCAAAAAAAGGATTTTATTTCAGCCTGTGCTTACATGCATCCCTATAAACAATGCAGGCAAAAGGTTCATAAGCTTGAAAACAAACACAACAAAGACAGTAGCTCCCAATTTGGAAAGCCAAATCAAAACTACAATTTCCCTTTCCCTAGTCTCCTGGCTATTAATATCTGCATTTAGAGACACAGTAAGCTGAAGAACTCCTTTGTTTCCATATCCTGCAGACTGTCTATGTAGGGCAATATATGACTCCTCAGAACTCCATATTCTCCATCATAACCTATTTACTCTATTAAAATATACCTTTATTTTGATGTCTGCTGTGAGAAAGCAGGTTGTCAAGGTGAGAGTGGATGGGTCTCTAGCTTTTAGGTATTTTATTGTTTCATACTTTATGTGTTAAAGTCTGTTTAAAACTACTAACACGTGAATTTAAGAATAACCTGAATACTTTAAATAGATTGGAATATAATCTATTCTAGAATATCTATTCTAGAATATCTTTCCTGCCAAAGAAAGCTTCAGCCGGCTGGCTACAATGAATTGTAAAAAAGCGTAAAGTTGAACAACAGTGCCAGAGATATTCTGGGAACCACATTAAATGCATCTTTGTCAGCAAAGCCAAGGAAACCCCCATTCTCTCTCCCACTCTACCTGCCCGTCCCCTCCAAAAAAAAAAAGTAGAACGGTACAATTGTCACAAGGTATGTGCCAGACCCCTACCTGACGCTGGTCTTGTACCGGCCTCTCCTACTGCTCGGGTTGCAGCGTCTGCGCCAGCCGCGGCTACAATACTTGCTGCGAACTAGAAGACACCTGCTGCCGGGAGCAGTCGAACATCCGCGGGACAGGCAGCTGCCCAGACCAATCCCATTGCGTCCCGGGAGATGGGCTCGGTTCCGAGTGGCGAGCTCCCTCCCGAGGGATGGGCAGGACTCAGTGGCACGGCCCTCTCAAGCTATCAGTGTCCCGTGTCTTTATTAAACAGCGTCGTAGCTGAAGAAACCGGGGCATGGGGTGACACAGGGTCCACGCCCCCATTCAGGGCACTGAGAGAGGAGAAGCGGGCGGGTCCCTCGCTGCGCTGCAGTGGAGATTAGAGAGATGAGCCAACACAGTCCTGGATCAGGGCCCATACTGGTAGGAACTCATAACTCAGAGACCCTTACAGCTGGCATCTCGGTCCCGTTACCGGTGCCTAAAGCCAGCCTTGAATTTTAGGACTTTTCCTCCGTGTTAAATCTCCTGGGGGAGCTCCTCCTATTTAGCGCTGTACTGTGAGTCGGCTGTTCACTGGAAGGATCTTTGCCATGTACTTGGTCCTGCCATGGAGGTAGGGGACTGGACTCGATGACCTCTCCAGGTCCCTTCCAGTCCTAGTATTCTATGATTATGATTCTATGATCTTTTCATAATTAGCCACGATGAGATCTAATGTTAGAGCCAAGTTTACCTCACTCCTCTACCATTACTAGACTCCACAGCTACGGAGGGGAAAAGCTCATGATTGAGAAACATGCTATTGATGATTAGTTCCAAAATCTGGCTTCCGTGATTAATCTCTTGGTTTGTGATCCTTTTCCTTCCCTCTTTTAGTTTTACACACGTGATCCCCCCAAAGTTCATAGGCTGCTGTTGGCAGTGACGAATCTCTCGAGGGCTAATTAAAACCAGGAAACAAACACCCTGAGTTTTAGATCAGGTGAATAAATACGTAATACTTGTAAACAGTATCTGGGTTGAATAGCTTCAAATACCGTTTGCACGGTAGTGGAGTGAATGAAAAGGAAGACTGCCATTGCATTCAGTGTACTTGAGACACTGGCGTGTGGGCATCTCCCTAGCAATAAAATATATCGGTCAGCATGCGGATTTGTGCAATTGCGGTGAATACACTGCCTAGCGAATATGTTGTTTCTGCATTACTAAAACCTGAATGTACAACTCCTGGAGTCAGCGCGTTGCTGATCCGTAGCGCATTATCAGCGGGGGGGTTAATTACGTAGTCGTTAAAGAGTGTTTCCTCTGCAGCCTTCCTAGCCTGTGCAATGCTATCTTCAGCCGTCTAAAATAAATCGTATTGCTCTTGGCTGAAGTAAAGCTGCGTGCGCGGCGCGGCGCGTCACAGCAACTGATCAGCCAAGCCAGCCCCTGCCGCGGAGCAAAGGAGGACGCGTTTGCGCTACGCCCTGCTATGAACTGAGGCGTTTTGAGTCCAGCCGGCCACCATCCATAGCTCGCTTTCCCGCCTCTGAGAGGAGTGCGGGGGCCTGCCGCTGAGCCGGGGCTGTTTAACCGCAATGGCCGAGCAGGGCCTGGAGCTGGCCTCTATGATCCCAGCCCTCAGGGAGCTGGGCAGGTAGGTCTGCAGCGGCCCCGCGCCGCTCAGAGCCAGGAGCCTGCGGCAGCTCCGACATGTCTGGGTTGCCCCCCAGCTGGGCTTAGAGCAGAGCGGTAGCTTGACTTCCTCGTGAGCCCTGGCAGCGGGGCGCGCAGGCTGTGGCGGGGGGTTGCACGCGGTGCTATTAACACAACAAGAAATGGCATTTTACGTGCCGCTCGAAACAACAAAACCCCCTCGCGAGCGTTGGCCTCGTCTGCTCCGTTCGCTTCCAAATGTGCGGAACCTTTTCCAGAGTCTGAGCCGCTGACTGTCTCTGCTGCTGTTTTACTGGTCACGTTGTGGTGTTGAACTCTGCAAAGCTCTTTGCACCACTTGCTTGTTTATAGGCTTATTTGTGATGCTCGCTCACTGCAGTGTCTCAGAGGAACACAACAAGAAATGGCATTTTACGTGCCGCTCGAAACAACAAAACCCCCTCGCGAGCGTTGGCCTCGTCTGCTCCGTTCGCTTCCAAATGTGCGGAACCTTTTCCAGAGTCTGAGCCGCTGACTGTCTCTGCTGCTGTTTTACTGGTCACGTTGTGGTGTTGAACTCTGCAAAGCTCTTTGCACCACTTGCTCGTTTATAGGCTTATTTGTGATGCTCGCTCACTGCAGTGTCTCAGCACGTGAGAAATGCTAATGGTTTAGTCTCCCAACAATGCTAAGTATTATTAGTACTGTTACAGAGAGGAAAATTAAGATGCAGTGGGGCTAAGTTGTTCTAGGTCACGTGACAAGACAGACAAAGCCAGCTATTTAAACCAGTTCTGCATCCCGGTGCAGTACTGGACAATCCTTGCTTCTCTCATAACTTGTATGTAGGATGCTTATGGAAAATGGTGTCTTGATGTAGTCAAGCCTCAGTTTACAGGGTGGCCATGTTCTTGAAAAAACACTGCAAATAAAAACTGTATAAAATGATATCCAAAGTCCATGGGAAATAAGGGCTTAAGTTCCAGGCTCACAAGATGAACTCCCTAACTTATGCAGTGCAGTTTTTATTTTAAAATGTTAAGAAATTTAACCTTGCCATTACTGATTTGAGGATGAACTTGATATGATGAGAACATAACATAAGAATGGCCATAATAGGCAAAAGGTCCGTCAAGCTCAGTTATCCTATCATCTGACTTTAGTCAGTGCCAGGTGCCCAGGAGGAAACAAACAGAATGGATAATCACCAAGTGATCCGTCTCCACTTTTGGCAAATAAAGGCTAGGAATGCCATCCCTGCCCATCCTGGCTAATAGCTATTGATGGACCTGTCTTCCATTAATTTCTCTAGTTCTTTTTTGACCCCTGTAATAGTGTAGCTTCACAACATACTCTGGCAAAAACTTCTACATGTGGACTGTCAATTGTGTGAGGGAAAAAAAATCTTCCTTTTGTTTATTTTAAACTTGCTTCATATTAACTTCATTTGGTGACCCCTACTTTTTGTGTTATGAGAAGTAATAAATAGTGCTTCCTTATTTGCTTTCTCAACACCAGTCATGATTTTATAGACCTAAATAATATCCCCCTGTTAATTGTCTCTTCAAAGCTGAAAAATCCCAGTCACATTATGGAGGCTGTTCCCTATTCCAATCACCCTGCTCTCCCTGCCTTGTGTTGCTGCTGGGGAACAGAATAGGGAGCTCACCTCATTCTGCCTGCCACCCTGATGGTGCAACTGGGGAGCACTGTCAGGGCATGGTGGTTTACTTGCTCCCTGGAATGCTGGGTGGATGGAGTCGGGTAAGAATAAGACCTGACCCCACTCTCTGGGCAGATGGAACTGGCAAGTCCTCTTGAACTGAACCTGCTCCCTAGTAGGAAGGCTGGGCAAAATGGCTAAGCCCCTGTGCCCTGATCCTCCTCCCCAGGTAGAGCACCAGGAACGTGCACTGAGTAGGGGAAACCCTCAAACTCACTGCCCACCTGGAGATACTAGGGCTGAAGCAGAGCCAGGGCTGGGGGATGGAGTTGATGACAGCAGACATGAAGAAAATTGGTGATAAGTCAAATTGGTTTTCTTCTGCATATCTTTGTAAACTTCCCTGTAAGGAGCAAGTGCACCCTCAGCTCTCTTGAATTTCAAGCTATGTTCCATATAAGGATGATAAATTTAGATGTAATTTGCATCAACTATTTGTTTAATCAATAAAGGTTCCTCTGCCTTAGAAATGTAGCAAGAGCCTTGCCAATTCTTGCTACTTTTTAAAGGCGGAAGCACCATGACGAGCATAGCCAGCAGGGGACTCAAGCAATCCCCCACTGACCCCATGCTCCCACCTTGAGCTCCCTCCTGGGGCTCTTATACATTTCAAAAGCAGTCCACCTTAAGCTCCCTCCTGGGGCTCTTATACATTTCAAAAGCAGGGAGCTCAGGACCAGTGGGGGAATGCTTCAGTCCCCAGCTTGCCCCAGGCTCCCCGCAGGCCTTCTGCTGTTGAAATGTAGCAAGACTTTGCTCTTGCTACATTTCAAAGGTGAAAGCGCCGCCAGTTCCTTGCTGCAACCCTGCCTGCCCCTTCTCCCCATGGAGATGGTGCTGGGGGGAACTGGCTTCTAAGCTGGCTACCCCCCAGCACCGGATTTTGCTCCCCACCCTTGCTGCCTCTCTCTGATAGAAGCAGCAAGGAGGGGAAGCAACCAGTCAAATCACTAGTCGACTATCCGATAAGCATTTGCTTATCGGATAGTCAACCAGTCAAATCACTAGTCGACTAGTTGCTTACATCCCTAATTCCATGTATGGATTCTCAGCAAAAAATAGTCTCGACTTCCTTGGCTAATTGAAAACCTTTATCCAAATTCTTCATTGTCAGTTACAGTTTTGGTGCCACTTGTACCTCCTCACTGTCCTCGTCACTAGTGATTCACTGAATTAGCTCCTGTAGCTCTTTTTTTTTGAGCTTGGTAATGTGGGACTCAAGTAACTCTATTTCTGTTGCTTGGAGTTCATCAAATCCTTCCCCTTCAACATCATGACGCAGCTCTGTGATTTCTCCACGTCATAATGCATTTTTGGGGAAGCCATCCACGAAAATTGTTCACTACCTTTTGTCACAAGTTTTTCCAACCTCTCTTGATGGTGGAAGACTGTATTTAATCTGGAGACACTTATATTTTTAATACACTGTGCTGTGGTGTAGTCTGCCCAGCAGTAGTCACGGTTAAGCTTGGATCACTGTCCAGAACATCTAGAAGAAGGCAAAAGGTGCAGTGAGTGTAATAAACTTTAAAAATTTCAGTGACACCTTGGGCAAGAAGCTGGAGGAGCAATGTGGTGTTTGGAGGCAGAAAAAATTCTTCCACATTCGAATGTACAACCTGAAGGCTTGCAGAGTGGACCGGAGCATTATCCAGGACTTTAAATGCCAGGCTCTTTGATGCCAGCTAGCATTCTACTTCATGCACAAAATAATTAAAATACAAGCCTATAGGAAGATCCAACGTGACCATGCACACTTGATTAGACCTCCAAAATA